CTGGCCAAGCACGGAGGTGCCACTGACTGGCCTGTAGTTCCCCAGGTCCTCTTTTTTTTCCCTTTTTAAAGATGAGAGTTATGTTTCCCCTTTTCCAGTCAGTGGGAACTTCACCAGACTGCCACAACTTTCCAAATATGATGGATAGAGGTTTCACAACCCCATCCATCAGTTCTTTCAGGACCTGTGGATGTATTCCATCAGGTCCCATGGACTTGTGCACCTTCAGGTTCCTCAGTTGTTCCTGAACCTGATCCTCACTGACCATGGGTGGCTCTCCATCCATGTTCTTTTCTCATGCAATAGCATATAACACGTTACAACATGTAACGCAATCTACTCAGGTTCTCCTCGAGGTGCGTTAGGCGCTTAAGCGTTACGGTGTAGAAGAATGAGCACATTACCTTCCGCCTTGGGTTCGCTTGTCCTCGGAGCACCCCATGCCTGTACCACAGATGCAGCATTTGACTCATTTTTCTGAGCTGTCAGGGCCTTCTGTCCTCTACCATCTTTCATTAATAAAAAATCATCCTCTACTGATGATATATCCCAATCGTCTTCATCAACTTCTGTGAACTAACAGGGAAAAGAAAAAACATGCTGCATTTTCCCTCTGTCTGTTCCAGCTGTCCCGAGACCTTCCATAAACCCAGCAATAAGAAACTGCTAAAGAAAAATGCACTGGCATGTGGCCTTTATGACATCTACCACCACAGTTTTAAAAACCACATAATTACCTAAATTACATTAATTCACTATTACAGTTCTAAAGCTAAAAGCAGGGTGGGTTTTTTTTTTTTTTTCCTAAGTCAGGAACTGCAGAAGTTAAAAGTTCTGCCAGTTTCTTAACTGTCAGAAACCTACTTTTTCAGGTATTCCCTAACTTAAAAAAGGATCGTCTTTTCTGGGATATAGGCTATTGCAGTGAGATGGAAAGTCTAGTTCAAGCACTAGAATGTACGTTACTGACAGGAAAATAAAGACATGACATGTTATCATGCAAGCTGGCAGTTTAGTTTGCTATATAAGCATTCCGTATTCACACCAGAATAAGTTAATAGAGCAATAAAGGCCTTTTCAATTTAAAACTCATTTATTTCAAGAGAAAATGAAATGAAGTGAAAAAAACCACACAGTGCTCAACGTTAAAATACGTATTCCTTGTAAGACTCGCTGTCAGCACGTGCAAGTGTATTTTTAATTAAGTGGTGGGTTTGCATAACGAGTTCACAAAATGAGACTCCAGTCAAACAGATGCACCTGAAAGCAAGGAGTCCGCGGTCTTTCTTAATCTGCCTGAGAACTAAACATCTCCATTCAGCTTTTGAAAGAAGAGCTGCAGCATTTCCCTACGTGTCAGTCAGAGGCGTTTCAATGAATCAAGCCATGATTAGGGAGCTGAATTGCGGAAAGCGAAAGACAATTTCACTGGAGTCCCTCAATATCACAGTAAGATAGAGAAGGCGCTTCCGTTGCACAAAAGAAAGACTGAGGTGCTACTAGAAAACAATGTAAGGTATGTACATACTGGAGAAACATCAACAAACACGAACGTGTCATGTCTCTTGGAAGAAGGGAAGAAGCTGCAGTACTGCTCTACCTTGCAACACTGTTCAATTCTAACCTTGCACGCTGTTTTTGAAAGCTGACAGATCTGCTCGGTGTGCTGGGTTCTTAATGTACCAGGATTCAACATTCTGCTGTTTTAAATTATCTGCATTTGAAGGGCGTGGTAATGGGAAAGTCAGAGTCACAGGTGTCGAGAAATGCCGGAGGAAGAGTTCCCTCAAACATTCACCAAGTCCCAAGTGATTTATAAAGTACAAAACACAGAGAAAAATGTCAACTTCGAACAGAATTCAGCTTTGATCAAGTGTAACCCATTAGCACGGCAGAGTTGGGCTGTAGGTCCATTTGTGTGAGTGCTTC